TTTGCTTCAGAAGACATGGCAAACTAATCCAGTATCTTTGCCAAGAAAACCTCAAAGATCCAAATAGGGTGACAGAGAGTCAGACACAACAGAAAAAACCAACTGAACAACAAAACACATGTATGATTTTGTATTACAATTCATAGAAATATTTTCTGATTTCAGCATCTATATTATTTAACATTTCATAGGATTGGGCATCAATAAAAATGAAGGTCCAAATCCTGACTTACAGACTAACTAAATGTACAATGCCAGAGAGGCCTCAGTTTCCAGCTCATTACTACCTCTCTGGATTGCTAATGAGGAAAAAGCTTCAGAAAGTTTAAACTGAAATATAATTTCAAATTGTTACATTATTCTTATACTAACAAGTATTTACTAATAGGTACATAATGTCATGGATAGAAGGCCGGCCCTTTAGTCAGAAAGGATAGGTTTGAGGCCTGCCTCTCATACAGACTAGCTTGTGGGCTATACAAAAAAAACAGGTTGCCGGTCCTATTTGACCCTTAATTTCTGGCCCCTGATATAAATTATCACCTAGCTGCCAATCATCATGAATGGAGGAAGCTCTTTAGAGAGAAAAAAAATCTGAGATCCTACCCAAAATACAGAATAAGAACCCTTCCTTCACATACACATAACACACACACATGTGCGCTCAGACACATACACACACACGCACACACACACAAAATAGCCCCCAAAGCAGTGTTTGTTAAATAGTGAAATCTGAAGACATTTTCAGAAGATGTTGAAATTAAAAAAAAATAGGCTCAAGCAATATTATTTTTTAATCTCTTAATGAGTTTCTCAACCCTCTGCAAGGTAAAAAAAACATATATTACAAGACAAAAATTTATAATGCTGACATTATGTAGAATTATCTAGTTGATGAAACGTATCTAACAAGGTGAATTTTTCCTAGTAATAAATGTAAATTCCTGTTTTTAGGGTCACAAAATCAGCAATACAAATGTGAATACAACTTATGACCACTAGCCAGTGACAAAGCCTCTTCATCATCTGGAAATTGATAATAGATTTAACCTTACCTGTGCCATCATGTTGTGATTTTGAAAAGCAAGGAAAGTAATTTGCCAGATTTGTTCAGATCCGGACACAGAATTTGAGGAATCTCCTTGACCAAGGATTCAGAAAAAAGAGCACCATAATTTTTTGCCAGCTTTTTAAAAATTCTTTTTAAATTCTTTTACTTGTTCAACTTCTTCAGTTCCTGGGATATCTATGTGAAGGATCTCTACAGATTTGACCTCCCTTTAGTACACTACACACTTGATCTCTTGGGATGCTATCTAGTTGTAGTTTTAACTGGTTACAAGCTTAACATGAGAAGGCAGTGTGATCAAGCCACTGAAAAAGCTAACATTAAACTAAATATTTAGTGGAGAGGTACACAATGAGCAAAGGTATTCATCTGTGTTGTGGAAAGTATCCCACAAATACTCCAAAGAATAATTCCTGCATGAATATTACATTCTTGCAAATGCTCCTAGTCATAAACAACATCATATTGATTGCATTAAGTCCCAGGAAATTATAATGCTTCCACAATGCAATTTATAGTATTGTAAGAGATTGGTCTAGCTAGTTATACTAGGAAAAGAAAGTAGATGAAAACATGAATATTCATCATATTATGACAAGTGACTGAAATTGGCACGTCAATATATTTATCTTGGACAAATGCTTTAGATGGACCATTGAAAATGAGTTAGTCATGGGGTTAAGTAGAAAGTGGACAAGAGGTGGATTAAATTGAACTGATTAATACCAATATTCTCTCAGTGAATCTATATAATTGTAATCTTGGGCTATCTATCTATCATTTATCTATCTATCTATCTCTCTATCTCTCTATCTCTCTATATATCTATCTGTCCTCAAACAACCCAGAGATAATGAAAACAAAAGATCTGGTTGTCATCATCAGTCTCTGGAATATGGCAAAGCCAAACCTAGTTTGAGAAATAGAACAATAGATTTTATCAATTAACTATAGTAGTTCCCTATTGCCTCTAGGATCAAATATAAAATCCTCCATTTTTCTTTTATAGTCCATCATAATCTGTTCTTTTTTTATCTTTCCAGTGTTCTTATACTTTCCTCACTACCACATACTCTATGATCTGGTGACTCTGCCCTCCTACTATTTCTCAAAAAGACACTCCAGCTCCCAACTCCAGGCCTTTTTACTGGCTGGTTCTTATGCCTAGAATGCTCCTTCTCCTGAGTTCAAGCATCATAGATTCCCTAGTTCCCTTCATATCTTAGCTAAAGTCTCACCTACTGCAAGAAGCTTTTCCTAGCCCTCCTTTATCTCAGCGATTTTCTCTGAGACTGCCCCCCAATTTATTCTGCAGGGGTCTTGTTTGTACATAGTTGCTTGCATGTTGTGTCCCCCATTAGACTATGAACCTCCTTGACAGCAAGGACTATTTTTTTTCTTTTCCTTTCTTTATATCTCCAGTGCTTAGCATAGGGTAGCATAGCTTAGCATGGCACATAATACATACTTTAAAATGCTATTTTGCCTGACTGACAACAAAGAACACCTAGAACTAGAAAAATGTGGAGGCTATATATTTAGAATGTGTAAAAGATGACATATTCATCTATTATAGTAGTATATTGGAATCCTATAGAAATTAAAATAAATGAGAATGAATTCTATTGCATGCAGTATAATCATTATGGAGGATTTTTTTTTAATACAGAGAAAGAAAATATAAGAAGGCATAGAATCATGTTGTATCACTAGAGGAAACACCACCATAATAAATCACAGTTCCTTCAAAGTAGCAAATTACCAAGTTTCAGAAGACCTTCCCCAAATGCTCTTTTAAAAGAGTAATAGTTTTCAAACCACAAGGTCATGTAATTGATAATTAGTATTCTTCATAGGAGGAATGCAAACAGATTCTATTTAATAAATTTGCTAATAATAGTTCTCTTTTCAATGACAATAGACCAAATTTTTCTTTAGCTAAATAGATTCTTCAATAAAGTAAGAATAGTATGACAAGGCATATATAAGCACATTTGATTTAATTCTGCTGTTTACCAATAGAAGTACGACATGGTATTCATGAAGTCATATTCATGTAGGGGATTATACAACTAAAACTACTACATTGAAAAAAGCAAGTGGGGGGAAAGCTAAAATATTGTGCTTTTATTGTCAACCTAGATCATATTTGCAAAATATATTGCTAATTAATGTTAATTTAGCCTCTGGAGGATTATACAGTATTACATTAATTTGAGCATATGTGTATTCTATTTCATTTAGTACTTGAAACAAAACTTCCTGTACTAGCATATTATTTATCATTAGATGAGTAGATGTCATTAAAAAACAGGACAAAAAAAATTGCGGCACATGCATTTAATTGAAGGTTACTGAAAGATAAGAAAATATGATGAATACAAAGAATCATGGGAAGATACATGAAATGATGCAAAGTTAAAGTAATAGAATCAGAAAGAGAGCATACACAATTACTATAAAACTAAGCACTGTATAATTATAATAACCAAACTTGGACCTGATGAAGAAGTAAGAAAACATACATCCCTCTCTTTTTTTCAAAGGTTAGGACTATAGGTGTGCAAGTACTCTCACATTCAGCTGATGTGTTGGTTAGTTTTAGTGAACTATTTCCCCCCTTTTTCTTCTTTATTCTTTGTAACAAAGGATGAATCTCTAGATTGGGGTAGGAGGGAGCTGTTTGTGAATATTTTATATAAAAGTAAGATATCAATGATTTTGAAAAGTTTAAGTGACACAAAAAATGAATACTCTCATTTTTTGGGTGGGATCAGTAGTAGAAGGCCAACTGTACATTTGATTATAGAAGATATTTATAAATTGCCAGGCATAATTCTACATTATCAGGTTAACTCTTACAAAAATAACTTTAAAAGCCTTATGAATGTCACTTGGAAAAAATGTGGGATGAAAATTCTCATCAGTTAATATACATGAACTCTGAGACATCTCATTATTAATTTATTTATTTTCCTTTCTAGTCAATGTATTGGCTAACATTTCAGGTAGATTAAATGTGAGGATTTGTAGCAATCATGCACTGGTCAATCTACTAAATTATACTATCGTAACTGGAAAGGATTAGTGAAGTTTTTCAAAGCGCCAGACTGACTCCCATGTACCTGACCATTACTGCAGATGACTCACCAGTCTTTATTTTTCTTAATGAAATTATTAAAAAAAAAAAAGATGGATGCTACCTCCTTTGCCAAATTTCACATTTTACTTATTGAAAATGTGTATGAATGTCAGAATAGTAAGACAATTCAATATTCATGAAGTGTCAATGCTCTATAAATACTGAGATACTATGACATTTTACAATAAATAGTTCAGTATGGTAATTATTGATGGATGAATCATAAATGGTTCTGAAACTAGACTTAGGTAACCTTCCAAAACTTTGGATAATAACAATATTATAGTGTGCCCTATTTTTAGAGAACTAATATAAAGATTTCAAATACCTGCAACATTTTAGGCTACATAATTTAAAAAATAACCTTGTGAGACATGTAAATGACAAAAATAAGCTTCACTGTCTTACATGTGGTAGAGGAATTCATTTTTAATGTAAAAAGCAAAACTCCTATATTTTAAACAGAAAGGTTTTTAAGTCTTCTAAAAAAAAGATTTCCTAGAAAATTAGCAACTTGTATCTCTTTTCAAAACAGAAAAAAAGTAATTAATGTAATTCTCAACATTTATTCAAGACTCATCAACCTTTGTTTAAAACAGAAATGAACACAGCCATTTTGATAGTAAATTATCAACAAAATAATCTTCAGAAAATTCACTCCCTTGGTTTATCACTTTAAAAGCAGCCAGAAGATTTTTTTTTCCTTTAGGAGAGAAGGAATTCTTATGTCTTGGAATGTCCATTCAAAAATTTAATTATCCAAAATATAGTTCTTTCTAATCTTTACCTCTTTTTTCATCTTAAGTATTTCCCTCAAGCCATTCAAATATTCTGTTGACATATTCTTGTATCTGTGAAAAGATTGGAGCCATATTAAAAATAAATAAAAGCTTGGTTAACATAACTCACTCATCTTGTGAATGGATTTACTTCCTTGACTAATGGAAAACAAGGTGATAGATTCATTAGCTATCTTTTATGTTGAAGGCACTTAACAATATTTTTGAAATCAAATTGAACTTTTGTGGGCATTTCATTGTTACAAGAACCTAAAAAGCATATGAAACTTAACAAAAGAGAGAAATATGCATTCTTCTTTTTAATAACTATCTACTTTTCATACTGTCCATCTGTATACATCATTCAGTATCATGTTAGTTTGTGCACACACAGTGATGTACATACACACACACATACGTATGCACACACATACACATTCTTATCTAAAACCAGACTACTTTCATTTGATTGAAATCCCCTTAATTACCATATTTGTATAATCATCCACATTCAGAACTTTTGTCATCCTTAACTCCTTCCTTTCTAGTCACAATGTCTTGTTGGTTTTTCCTTCATAATATCTACCACAGCTGTGAATATCTTTCTATTCCCACTGCTACCAACTTAGTTTTATACATTTACTCTCTTTAGTACTATAATGGTTTCTGAACTCATCTCTCTGCCTTCTCTGCATATCACCAGGATAATCTTTGCATAGTATAGCTTTTATTGGTCACTTTACGTTGCTTAGCAAATTTAATCCAGAATCCAAACCCAGGTATCTGAAACTTTATGACTTCTACTTTCATTTCAGATCATAAGACTTAATCCACCTCAGCAATGCAGAAGAAATAGTCGTGCCCTGGATGCCACCATTACCCCAAACTCCTTACCATTTTCACCAAACTCTCTGACATCAAAGTAATCTGCTGTTGTTCTAATTCTCTGTATGCACTACCCTCCTAACACTAATTTCCCCCTTCATTACTAGCTTCAGTCTCTCACCTCTAAATGGAAGTTCTGAAACTGGTTCTTACGATTCCATTAATATATATGGTGATGAAGTACCTGTGGTAGTAAGTCATGAATTAAAATCCATTTTCAACAATTTTCCTCAACCAGAGCTCTTATTTCCCTACAAAATAAACAAACAAAAAAAGACTCATGCTAATAACTAGTGATTTCATGATTTTAAACTCAGCACAACTTTCAATAATGAAAAACGTCCACCTGAAATGATTCTCATTGACATTTTTTATATGGAAATTCTCTTCCAGGTCATGCACCAACACCAAGGCAGTTTCATCAAGCAGAGGAAATAATATAAATTAGAAGAATATGTTACTCAGTTAAATAATCCACAGGGTGGGCCTTTATCTTACCTAAGAAAAAGAAACCAAAATGACTAGATTTGAAGAGAATGCTTTGGAAACCTATACATATGGCAAAATTTGGAACTTTTTAGTGTACTAAAAATTTTATCTCTAATAGTGTGAATGCTACAGCAAGTGAAAGAAGATTTTGTACATCCTCAAGGCTCTATAAATAAGCTCCGTGAAATCTGCTAACTGAATCCTTTGCAGTATCATGGCTAATTGATTTTGTGGCTTGATTCTCAGTGGCCCGTACTTTCTCTCCTCTGAAGAGAGCTCGCAGTATGTTGCTCAGGTGTTTCCTTTTCACTGTAATTTGCCTTTCTCTTTATTATTGTTCCCTCTTTTAGGTTGTTTATAACATGACATAAATTAATATCAAAAATCCAACATCTACTTTACTAAAAACCCAAATTTGAATATGAAGTTGAATTTTCTTCATAGGTTCATCAGATTCCCAGACCTGAAAGGAACTTTGAAGATCCTTCAGTATAAGGCACACCTGCCTGTAAATCTAGGTTATTATTGTATCCTCATCAAGAGGTCATCTCTGCTTAAAGGTTTGCAGACAGGTGGGAAAAGAGGGAGGACAGGAAACAACAGGGCTTAATTGTTCATTTACTTCTGAATCAGCCCATTCCATATTGGAATAGCTTTAATTTTTAAAACACGTGTTTGTTGTGAGCCAAGATGGCAGGGAAAAGGCAGCAACTCGCCTGAGCTCTCCCCAAAACCCCTCCAAAAATCTTTAAATAATTCCATAAAACAATTGGTACAGCAGCAGAATCTGCAAAAGAATGGGATGAAATAATTTTCCAGCCAAAGACAATTTGGAAGGTCAGCAGGAAAGGTCTGTCATACCTGGGTAAGAGTGGAACACAGTCTACCACAAGCCGTGCCAGCCCAAACTAAGACACGGTGAACCAGGAGCAGGCCTTGGGAGCCACTGAATCAGCAGTGGCAGCAGCTCTCAGCCCACAGATGGTAAGGGAATCAAACAAGGGTCTCTTTGTTAGCAGTGAGGCAGGACTCTGTTGCTTTGCCCATACTTGTAGACAGGTCACATTGCTGGGTGGCAGTCCCAGGGCAAGAAGGAGCACTGGTATGCTAGAGCTTGAAGTTGCAGTGAAACAGGCACCCTCCTCACAATACCAGAGCAGAAAAGAGTGCTTATGGTTACTCACAGACCAGAGTATAGTCCAGGAGAATACAGTTAACAATAGTAACTGTGAAAAAAAAATTTGAAGCAAATCTTTCTGACAAAGTCTTCATTTCTCAAACATATAGAGAACTGAGTCAAATTTATAAAAAATAGCCACTCCCCAATTGGTAAAATGGTCAAAAAATATGGACCATTTCCATATGAAGTAATCAAAGCTACCTATTGTCATATGAAAAAAAGAGTTCTAACTCATTATTGATCAGAAAAATGCAAATTCAAACAATTTTAAGTTACTATTTCATACATTTTAGATTGACTAATAGAACAAAAAAGTAAAATGATGAATGTTGGATGGGACTTGGAAAAAATGATTAATTTTAATTAGTTTAGAAACAAAAAACATACTGTTGGGTATACTACAAAATACATCATTTAACTTCAAATGAGCCCCCACTTCAACAAGGCAATGGCAAATCCCTGCATTCTAAACATGAACTACAAAACATCCTTGAGAATTCAACAAATAAGTTGTAGAGTGTTTTGAAAGCATCCACGAGAAGGGTTACCTGACCCCATGGTCAGAGCAGGTTTGAAAGTTAGGGTTGGTTTTTTGGTCTCCTCCCCTTTTGTTGCACCAGAAGCCTGCTATTTTGATCAGATGTCATCACTCCATGACCCTCCCCAGGCTTCTCTGTGGACTTCAAGCTAGTCTGCGAAACAACTTATGTAACAGCTTTTCAAGGCTAGACATTTCATGAGACACCATGAGACTCCCTCCCTGTTGAAATGTATTTAAACCCTGCTGCTCTTGCCTCTCCCAGGCACTCCAGTATTCTGGTCCTGTGCAGTGTTCTGAATTGTAATTCTTTGGCCTCAGTTAAAGACCCTTGTTGTTGGTACCTTGGTAGTGCTCTTTTTTTGAGGTTGGCTAGTGTAATTGAATTATTATCATAGAATGATCACCCACAATTGCCTTAACATAATAATCACCTTAACAGTTTAAAGACACTGATTTTAATATGTGCCATAGTGCCAAGTGCTCATAACCTCCAAATGACATGGAATGAAAAGTTATCAAAATGTAAAATACCTACTGGCAGAAATCAAAGCCATGTGCAAACAGGATGAAATTCATAGCATTCCTGTCACCTTGTCTGCTACTAGAATTGACCCAGTGATGCTTTTCTATACAATATAGAGGAGAAATGGAAGGGGCAAATGGCAAACCACTCTAGCATTTTTGCCAAGAAAACCCTAAATGGGGTCACAAAGAGTCAAACACAAATGAATTGGCTGAACAACAGCAACAAAATAGAACATAGGCTTGCAGCCCAATAGTTTTCTTTAACTACCAAAAAATATAATAATTTTGTCCACTTATACAATAATTTGCGAAACATTAAACCTAAAACAACAACAGTAGGATAGTGGCTTGGCCAAGAATGATTTCTAGCTGAACTCTAATAAAAAATAATATGAAAACAATAATGATGATGATGAGGAGGAGGAGGAGGAGGAGGAGGAGGAGGAAGATATTGATGACCACACATTAATATAGCACTTTAAAATTTGCAATACACTTTACATTCATTATTTCACATTGTGTTCTTTTTTTCCACAGAATGTTCAATAATACATGTCTTTAAACATCTTAGGTCTGCTTTGTCTTCCTTTTATCTTCCCCCAAACACTAGAAGATAAGATCGTGGATTATGAGCTAAAAGAGATCTTGGTAATCATCTAGGCTTACCTCATTTTACAAAAAGAGAAAAATGAGTCCCAAAGAGATGAAATAACTTGTCCACAGTCACATAGCCATTAAGTTCTGGGGGAATGTTTTGAGCCTAGTTCTCATAATTCCAAATGGCTTTCCCCCAGGATCCCAAGGAGCCTCATTCCTTATTGTAATAAATTTGTTTCCTTAAAGGTTGTTTCTCTACCTGCTCCCATCCTTCAGTTGTTTCTTCCATTTTCTATAAAGGTCTTTATCACCACAATAAGCCAGAGGTTACAAAGGGATTTCTCTAGCTCTTTTAGACCCTTTCTTAGCATAGAATGCAGCTGGCAGTTACAGATCACATGAAGGCTGTTTACCTCAGGCAGGAACACAAACATAGCACTGAACTTCAGGTGATAAGAACAGTTCTCTCCGTGTCCTTCCCTCTTGGATTTTGAGTTGAACTTTATGACTACCCCCTGGAAACTTTTGGGCAAACTGCCAGTTTATTATACCTGTTCACTGTTGGGCTCCTAGGATTATTGCTTCTAAATTGCCCTGGCCACTCCCCCTAACTACTAGCCTCCAGTAATATCCTAGGTATTAGCAACTGGCACCAGCTAGATGATAATACAATCTTCTTCAGAAAGCACAGCAAAAAGGCAGCAACATTTTAACCAAATAATCCTCAATCTCCTACTCACCCCTTTAGGGCTTCCTTGCTATGCCTATTTAATTCTGTCCATCTGGCACCTCTTTTGTAGTTGATAGAAAGAAGAGGTAGAAATGCTGTCTTCGGGAAATGTCAGGAAGCTGATTTTAAAAGGGCTATAGCTACTCTTGCTGTTGATTAATTTTAGACATCTGAATGAAACGATGGGTAAAGGGGCCAGAAAGCATAAGGGAAATATAAATGAAGAATTAAATAAACAAACAAACAAATGAATGAATGAATGAATAAATGAATGAATAAATAAATAAATGTGAGTGAGCAAATAAATAAATAAATGAATGAATGAATGAATAAATAAATAAATGTATGTGTGTATGTGTATATATATGTGTGTGTGTATATGTGTATGTGCAAGCATGCATGTATACATGCACACACGCATACACACATATAAATATGCATCTATTTATCTATCTATATCTATATCTATATTCCTAAGAAGATGTAACAAAATATGGATAAAACTTTATTACCTGTTATTCTGGGAATTATTTATTGCTTTTGTTCATTAAAATTTACAATAAAGCAAGCTAATAGACAATCAAATGGAAAATCCCAAGTAGTGTAGTTAAAAGCTGCTCTTCCTTTTTTCACTGGCTTATCATTCCATAAAGATTTTGAAGTGCTTACTGGGTAGAGGTTACTGTATCAGACTTCATGGGAGATAGAGGATTTTGAAAAGACAGTCCATACAGAAATTTCAGTCTTTTGAAGAGGTAAAATATAAACATTGGTAACCATAACACAAAATGTTATATTCCCTTCATTTGAGGGGAAAACAAAATATCTATGTTTGGAATGGGGAGGGGAAATGGTTATTATTGACATATTTGGGAAGGTTTCATGGAGGAGGTGGAATTTATTTTATGATTAAATTATTTGTAGGAATTCTAGAGGTGAAGAGAATGAAAGGGGACAGTCCAGGCATACTGAACAGTATCAGTGGACACAGAGGCTGAAAAATTCATAGTATAATTAAGGAGCAGTTGTCTAGAGTCTAGAGCAATGTGGATATTTTCTTCAGTGATGAAGATCCAGCGTACATATGGGTTGCTTGTCCGTAATTTATACTTATGCTTGCCATGTATCCAGCCCATTATCTTTTTCAATCATAATTTTTTTAACATCCTTTATGCTACTTTATCATAATTCCTTTTAAAAATGTGTCTCATCCTATTTACACCTACCATTTCATTCTCATTTTTCCTTTGATGATCTTCCATTTGAACATGGCAAAGTTTCATGACTTATAATTCTCTAATAAAAGCAAAAAATTTTGGTATTAAAAAGATAGGTCTATGTTTTCAGTGGAAGAATGGGAATCATTGAAAGAACTTTCCAATTTTCCAAAAGCAATCCAATCTGCTCAATTTCACCTATTCAATTCTGGGCCCAACTCTTTGTCTACTTATAGTATCTGACAGATACACATGCACATACACACATGTACATGTAAACATATGTGAAATTTGGATGAAAAATTATATTACATATACGTAGGGGTTTGTTTATATAATTACATATAAATTATGTATGACTTTATAATTACCCAATTGGTATATTAGTATCAATATTCTTTTAGTGTCATTTTAGAGTTGCAAGTCATGATATATTATAATCACAAATAAATGAATTTTGAAGTTTACCCAAAGGATAATGGAGAGTTTACTGCTGAATTTCTGATTTATTATGTTATGGTTCCTTTCTAACAAAGTAATGGTTAGCTAGAGAATCAGCCTAGAAGCTTGGGAAATATGGGATCAATCCCTGCCTCTAAGACATAGTAGACTCTAGAGTTAAGATCTGTCTGTCCTTTTTGACCCCAAAGGTTGAATAATTATAACTTAACCTTACTTCATTCTAAGTTTCAGGCCAGCTCTTCTGTATTCTTTCTTACCTTGTTCCAATGTTTGGCATGATGCACTTGAGCAAAGGGAAGGATTGATGTTCATCGATATTGATGTACAAAAGTTTGTTTGAAATTTTTCTCTAAAAGTTCAACAATATTATTGTATTAGTCTCATTTACCAGATACATAATTTTGGGAAATGAAACTAAGACAAAGAAGAAGCTAGGTGTCAAAGCAAATAGAGCCTTTGACTTAGAGTCAGGAAGACCGAAGTTCCAATGTTGCTATAGGAACTAAAGAGCCATATGACTCTAGGTCGTTCATTGAACTCCTCAGACTTACTTTACTCTTTTTGTGAAATGTGCATAATATTAGCATGCACCTCACATTGTTGTTATGAGGATTATGACAATCTCAAAGCACTATATAAATGCTAATAATAATAATAATACCAAGAGTGCCTCTTATATCAGGGTTATCATCTTTAGATTATAAAAGTTGATTTTCCTGAAATGACTAAATGTTATAATGATAAACCTGTGTAGTACTTATGTTTTTAGGATGAGTTGAAGTTTATGTGCTGCTAAAGTAGACTCCAAAGCAGTCATGGGGGAAAGTATTGAAAGACTTTTTAAACCAGTTACTGGTAACCAAAAAATAGCTTCTAAAAGCTAAGATCATCAGTACTATCTTTTTGTATTCCAATGTAAATTAACTTTTGCTCCTATTCAGTTTGAAGTAAAAGGAAAGAATGACTGTGCTACTATCCAAAGAAGAAGGTGGGTTATTCTATAGCAGAGACTTGTGTCTACCATCTCCAGATCAAAAGACTGCACACTAATTCCTGATGAATGTCTTTTGGGAAACAATTGTGAAAGATTTAGCTGGGAATATGTGAAGTATTGCTACATGGGAGCAGCTAACTACCCTTTCTCTTAATACCTTTATTTGCAACTTTCTAGTTCAGTGGCCAAATATTTATTTAAGGAAGTTTTTAATAAGTGTGAATACTGGTATACAAAACTTTTGTAATATACTAATGTACAAATTATTGCCACAATGACCAATCAGCCAATAAACATTTATTAAGTACTTATGTGCCAAGCATTGTGCTAAGCATTGCATATACAAAAAGAGGCAAAAGACAGTCTCTGCCTTCCAGGAGTTTACAATCGAATGGGGGAGACAATATGCAAGCAAATGGTTACAAAAGAAGCTACAGTAAGGATAAATAGGAAATAATTGAGGGAAGTTGCTGGAATAAAGAGGTGTTGGGGAAGGCTTCCTATAGAAGGTGAGATTTTAGATAGAACCTAAAAGAAACCAGGGAGGTCAGTAGTAGAAGCAGAAAAAGAAAAAGAAATTGCAGGGACAGCCAGAAAAAAATATTCAGAGCTGAGAGACATGTTTTATTCTTTATATGGTTGTAACAATGTTAAGTAAAGTAATAAATAGAGCCATAGTTCCTAGTAATGTCAGTCTGAGTGAGAATGAGACCATGCTACTATATATTTTAGAAATGATGTCTTTATCTGGTCCCCAAATCTTGGATCTTTGAGTTTGTCAAATACTAAATACCTATGGTCACTTAATACTGTGTCTCGTATACATAATTTATTCCACTGATCCACCACACTATTTTTTTAACCAATACCAGATTGTTTTGATAATTATTGCTTTGTAATACAGATCTGGTACTGCTAAGCCACTTGTCTTCACTTTTTTTTTTTCATTGATTCCTTTGATGTTCTTGACTCTTCTTCCAGACGAATTTTGCTATGCTTTCTAAAATAATTTTTTTGGTAACTTGAGTGTTATGAAACTGAATAAGCAAATTAATTTAGGTAGAATTTTCATTTTTATTATATTCACTCAGCCTACATGTGAGCAATGTATATTTTTTTGAATTGTTTAGATCCGACTTTATTTGTGTGAAAAGTGTTTTGTAATTGTGTTCATATAATTCCTGGGTTGTCTTGGCAGGTAGACTCCCAATTATTTTATATTGTCTATAGTGATTTTAAGAACGATTTTTATTTTTATCTCTTGCTGCAGGGCTTTATTGATAGTATATAGAACTGCTGATGATTTATGTGAATTTATTTTACATCCTGCAGCTTTACTGAAGTTGTTAATTTTTTCAACTACTTTTTTAGTTGATTCTCTAGGATTCTCTAAGTATACCATCATGTCATCTGCAAAGAGTGATGGTTTTGTTTGCCTATTCTAATTAAATTTATTTTCTTATTGCTACAGCTAGCATTTCTAGAATAATGTTGAATAATAGTGGCAACAATGAACATGATTACTATACCCCTGATCCTGTTGTAATGGCATCCAGCTTAGAGATGATTCTTGCTGATGGTTTTAGATAGATACTATCTGTCATTCTAAGGAAAGCTCCATTTATTCCTATGATTTCTAATATTTTTAATAAGAATAGGTATGATATTTTGTCAAATGCTTTTTTCTGCATCTGTTGAGACAATCATATGATTTTGATGTTTTTGCTATTGATATGGCCAATTGCTCTAATTGCTTTCCTGTACTGAACCAGCCTTCCATTCCTGGTATAAATCCCACCTTGTTATAGTATGTGATTTTTTGTGATATATTGCTGTAACCTCCTTACTAATATTTTATTTAAAATTTTTTCATCAATATACATTAGGAAAACTAGTCTATGGTTTTCTTTCTCTGTTTTTGCTTTAGCACCATATTTGCATCATAAAAGGAATTTGGTAGGACTCTTTCTTTGCCCATTGCTTCCCCCCAAAAAAATTATATAGTATTGTAGTCAATTGTTCTTTAAATATTTGGTATAATTTACTTGTGAATCCATCTGGTCCTGAGAATTTTTTTTCTTACAGAGTTCATTGATGGCTTGTTCAATTACTTTTTCTAAGACAGAATTATTTATATACTCTATTTCTTCTGTTAATCTAGGCAATTTATATTTCTGTAAATATTTGTCCAATTCCTTAGAATGTCTATTTATTGGCACATAGTTAAGCAAAATAGTTCTTAATAATTGATTTAATTTCTTCTTCATTGGTGGTGAATCTATCCTTTTCTTTTTTGATACTGGTGATATGATTTGTTTCTCTTTCTTAAATCAAATTAACCAATTTTTCACTTTATTTTTCATAACACTAGCTCCTAATTTTATTTATTAGTTCAATGGTTTTCTTACTTTCAGTTTTATTCATTTTTCCTTTGATTTTCAGAATTTCCAAGTTGGTACTTAATTTGGGATTTTTAATTTGTTCTTTTTCTATTTTTTTAATTTGCATGAACAATGCATTGATCTGTTCTTTTTCTGTTGTAGAGATATAAATTTACCAGTAAGTACTTTTTTGGCCACATCCCATAAATTTTGAAACATCCTGTCTCATTGTAACTCTCTTCAATGAAATTATTGATTGTTTCTATGATTTGTCATTTGATCCACTCATTATTTAGAATCAAATTATTTCATTTCCAAATAATTTTAAATCTGTGCCTCCATGGCCCTTTATTGAATATAATTTTATTGCCTAATGGTCTGAAAGGTTGCATTTAGTATTTCTTTTATTATGCATTTAGTTGTGAGGTTTCTAATGGCCTGATACATGGTTAATTTTCAGGAAGGTGCCATAAACAGCTGAGAAAAAGGTATATTCCTTTCTATTCTCCTTCAATTTTCTGCAGAAGTTTATCACATCTAACTTGTTTATTTTGTAATTAGAATTATCTAGTTCTGAGAGGGAAAAGTTGAGGTCCCCCACTAATATAGTTTTACTATTTCATCCAGTAACTCATGTAACTTTTCCTTTAATAATTTTGATGCTATATCATTTGGTATATATGGTTAGTATTGATATTACTTCATTGTCTATGCTATCGTTTAGCAAAATGTAGTTTCTCTGATTATCTCTTTTAATTAGTTCTATGTTTGCTTTTGCTTTGTCTGAGATCATTATTGCTACTCCTGATTTTTTTTTTAACCTCAGTGGAAGCATAATAGATTCTACTCTAGCCCCTTAATTTGACTCATTGTGTGTGTCTCTCTGTTTTAAGCATGGGTTTTTTTTGTAAACAACATATTGTAGGATTCTGGTTTTTAATTCATTCTGTTCTCCACTTCCATTTTATTGGTAAGTTCACCCCATTTACATTCACAGCTATGATTAACTGTGTATTTTCCTCCATCTTATTTCCTTCATTTATCCTTCTTTCTCTCTCTTTTTACCCTGTACCTCATCAAAAGTTTATTTTACTTATGAGCATGACCCCTTAATCTGCTCTCTCATCTATCAGTCCCCTTCTCTTCTTATATTTCCTTCTCCTTCTACTTCCCTGTAGAGTAAGCTAGATTTCTATACCCAACTGAGTGTGTGTGTTATTCTTACTTTGAGCCAATTCCAAAGAGCACAAGGTTCAAGTGTTGCCCCTCCCAGTTCTTCCTTTTGCTCTTCTTTTATGTGAGATAATTTACCTTAGTCTTCCTCCTCCTCCCCTCTTCTTCCAGTGCATCCCTCTTTCTTATTGCTTAATTTATTTTTTTTATCATTTCATCACAGCCTCTCATACTTCTGACCTCTGTGTATACTCCTTCTAACTGCCCTAATAATGATAAGATTCTTAAGAGTTACAATTATCATCCTCCTATAAAAGAACATAAACAATTTAACCTTTTTGACCTCCTTATGAGTTCTCTTTCATGTTTACCTTTTTATGCTTCTTTTGAGTCTTGTATTTGAAAGTCAGGTTTTCTTTTCAGCTCTTTTCACTTCAGGAATAAAAAGCATACCTCTCAAAAATTACTTTCTTCAGTGAGATTTTGAACCTCTTTTTTTGTTTGGCTAATTCTGCTTTTAAAGGTGTTCTCTTTTCATCAAGAATGCTTGAAAATGCTCTACTTAATTAAATATACTCTAAGCCTTCTGATTCTTTCATATGGACTTGTTAATTTTGTTTGATTATGTCTTTGGTTCCATATTTGAATTATTTCTGGATGCTTGCAATATCATTTCCTTGATCTGGGAGCCCTGGAATTTGGTTATAATATTCCTGTGTGTTTTCATTTTGGAATTGCTTTCAGGAGGTGATGGATGGATTCTTTTAATTTTTATTTTACTCTCTGGATCTAAGATATTGGAGCAGTTTTCCTTA